CTGGGTGAGTTATCTAAAAAAAAAAAAACATGCCTCAGTTTCCCCACCCGTAAAGGAAACTGAACCTCACTAGGGTGGTTGTACTTGCACACAGTCTCTGGAGCATGCACAGGTGTGTGTGTGTGTGTGTGTGTGTGTGTTGAGTCATGACCTTGATCATCGTAAATTGCTTGATGTGTGGCTGTGGCTGGCGATGTAGCTCATTTGGTAGAGTTGGTGAGCGGAAGGCCCTGATTCCATCCATAACACCACGTTCAACCGGGAGGGGGCATTCAGGCCTGTAATCCTAGAACTTGGGAGGTGGAGGCAGGGGAATCTGGAGTTCAAGATCACTCTCAACTTCTTAGAAAGTTTGAGGCCAGCCTGGGCTACATGACACTCTTCCTCAAAAATAAGTGCCTACTATGTGCTGTGGTGCCCCGACGGCCCTTTCATCCATGTCCCCATGGCAGCAGTGAGGAGTCCCACTTCACAGAAGGCCACCCTCAGGTGACAGCAGATTGGACCCAGCTGAGAGGGACCATCAAGCTCACACAAGGTCTGTGTGGCTCTGGGGTGGCATCTCCATCACCCTGTGTGCTCTAGACCAAAGCTTAGAAAACCCCACAGTCCCTGAGGATCGGGATGTCACCCCAGGGCCACCGCCCCCAACAATCCTGGGCTTCATGAGCCTAAATATTTTTGGGTTTTACATTCCAAGCCACTCCTGAGAGCCTGCCAGGGTAAGAGGGCTTTGGCTTCCAACCCTCCTCCTCAGACTCCTCTGCCCCTGGTCTGTCCAGAGGGCCCCTCTCCCTTAGAGTGGGCACAGCCTCGTGCCTCCTCCACAGGCTTCGGTGACCTTCTGTGGGAGGGAGACTTCACCCTGCCGCTCTTCACCAGCCTTTTTAATTCCCTTTGCTGGCCTCGGGCTGAGCCTGCCATTAACTTCTGTGAAGTCCTTTACTTAGCTGGGCATGGGGGCCAGTACAGGTGGGAGGTTCTCAGGGGCACCCACCCCTGCTGCTACATCCCCTCTGCCCACCCCACCCTCACCCCACCCCACGTGACAGCCCCGGGCTCTGTGCTGTGTAACCCGAGGAAAGGGCTTCAACTCTCTGAGTTTCCCTTCACGGCCATCAACAGACGGCTTTGGACTTGAGACGGTGTGTGTATGTGTGTGTACAGTCCGGTCAGGGTGCCGACAGGAAACAGATAGTTTCCCCCAAACTGCTCTTAGGAAAACAAGTTTAATAAAGAGGTTGTTGACTGGAGGGTAGGATGCCGCGACGTGTCAGGAAGGTGAGCGACAGCGGGGGACCAGGAACCAGCACCGCCCTTCGTGATGACCTGGATGGGGAGCAGAAGAAGAGGGATAAGGGGCCAAGCGTGCAGGGATGGACTCGGACAAGGCTCTTTCCTTCCTGGGGGAACTTGGATGTTGCCTTCTCTCAGAGCCCCTGTGCCTCTTCCCTCTGGAAAAAGGGTGTGGAAACCCATCCCTCGCGGTCTCCCCTTCCTTTCTGGTATTCCAGTGCAGTTTGAGCGTGGGTGAGAACCGGCCCCGGACTGGTGAACATTTCTAACCTGCGTCACGTGGAGTGAATCTCGGGGGAGGGGGGCGAGAGTTGAGCTGAGCGTCTGTGGTCCCCAGGGCCTCTTACCTGGTCCAGATCTTTGTGCCCAAAGACCCCAGGATGGCCCCACCTGGCCCCATCCCCACAGCTCCATCTCTCCATGCCTTGCACTCAGATCCGACTGATGAGGCAGAGAGGTCCTTCCCGCCTGGCAGTGATTTCAGGGCGGTCTTCTGGTCCCTGTCGTTCCCCATGATGCTCTAGTCTATGCTATGCTGATCAGCGCAGCTCAGCAGTTCTGGATGGATGTGAGTTCAGCACCAAGGAAGAGGCGTGAGCAGAGGTGGGCGGCAGGGAGTGGTCCCTCTGTGGATGCCTCTGTGGATGCCTCGGGGAAGCTGGGAAGGCCCAAGAGGGACAGCGGTGCCGGATCTTACGCCCCACAGGCATTAGCACTGGGCTACCCTGGGAAGGAGTGGGGCCTGGAAAGGGGAGGCTGCTCAGTGGCTGGGTGGCTCATTGGTTGGGGCAAAGGTACAAAGATGGGAAGGACATGGATCCCTGACGCTGCTGAGGGCGATGCTTTCATTTGCTTGGGCTACGGTAACAAAAGACCACAGATGGATTGACTTACAAAGCAGAAATGTGCTGCCTGGGAGTTCTGGAGGCTGGGAAGGAAGGGCAGAGTCTAGGCCTCTCTTCCTGGCTTCTAGATGCCGTCCTCACTCGGAACCATCCATCCGCTGTCCCTATTTCCCTCTTCATATGTGGCCGCTGCTCATATTAGATTAGAGGCCACCCCAATGACCTAATTGTGAAGATTTTCTTTTCAAATATCATATTCTGAGTTAGTAGGGGTCAGTGTTTTAAAATAACCGGTCTGGGGGAAAGGGGACACAGCCCAGCACAAAGCCAGTCGGGGAGGTGACCTGTCCCAGCAAGAGAATTTTGGGGTGCCAGAGAAATATCGGGGGGAGGGGCGGAAGGAGATGAGCATTGTAGAAAACGGAGTGGGGCAGGTCTGAGGACGCCCACTACAGAACTTACCAAGGCCGGTTCTTTGCACCGCCCCCCTTCCTCCACCCCAGCCCCGAGAGAAAGCTGGGGACCTGCCGCACACGCGTCCTGAGGAGGCTCATGGCTTCCTTCGGGGACACAGAGCAGATGGGGGCCTGGTGTCTCCGCACACAGGCAGGCAGCAGAGCGTCTGCGTCAGAGGAGCCCTGGGCATAGGGAGAGGGACGGGGTGGGGGGTGGGGGCGCGAGGCAGATGGCCGCCTCCGAAAAGCAGGAGGACATTGGCAGCAGAACCCGCTCAAGGCACAGCAGCCACTGCCGAGGACTGGAGCCCCACACTGGGGGTTGTTAGCCAGTTAGCAGAGTCCCTCAGCTGTCCCAGGCTAGATCAGCTGGACGGGACTCAGAGGACATCATCAGCCTGGCGGAGCCACACTCAGCGCAGGGTCAGCAAGCTACTGCCCAGCCGCCAGACCCCGCCCTCTGCTGGTTTTCATATCTTATCCGTTTACTTTTCTTACGTTGTTTACCGTGTGCGGGCACGCACGCAGAGGTCAGAGGACCTTCCACCATGGGGGACCCCTGGGATCGAACTCAGATGGCCAGGCTTGGCAGCAAGCACCTCTCCCCACTCAGGCATCTCTCTGGCTCAGTATTTCATTTTGTCTCTGCTTCAGTCCTTATTATTTCCTTCCCTCCGTTGCCTTGGTCTATTTCTTCCTGTTTGCCGATTCCTAAGAAGTAAAGGTAAGATGCGGTTGAGGTCTTCCTCCTTCCAACATCGCGGTTTCCTGCTGTACTTTCTCCCTCGGTGATATTCTCCCGTGTCTGGTGAGCCTCACATCCGGTGGGCCTCACGTCAGGTGGGCCTCACGTCCAGTAGGCCTCACGTCTCATGGGCCTCAGCACACCCCGTTTGTTCGAATTTCTCTCGAGACGTCCTCTAATGTCTCCTGGGACTTCTTTGGCAGACCGGCTGTTTCGTGTCTGCACATTTGTGGGTTGCCCTGTCTGCCCCTCTGCCTTTTGACTTCCCGTTTCCTTCCACAGTGCTCACGAGAGATTTGGCTGGAGGCGTGGCTCAGTGGTAGAGGGCTTGCCTAGCATATGGGGGGGGGGCCTGGGTTCAAATCGCAATGTCACATCTGTAAAGCGGGGTGATTCCGTGGGCCTTGCAGAGGGGTTCGGGCTGAGAACAGCTCCTGGGGAAGCCCGGCAGCTGGAGCTGGTCGTGGAGCCGTCATTGTTCACAGGGCCGGCCGGCCGCTGACTCCGGTGGATGGGCTGTGACTGCCATGCTGTCCCTGAGCACTCAGTGATGTGTGGCGATGCTCTGTCCTGTGTGCAGCTCCAGGAAGCAGGCTGCAGGGAGAGGCAGGCCTGCAGAAGCTGCGGGTACCTCAGGCTGGTGTGTGAGGAGCGGAAAGAAAACAGAATGGAGA